GACAAGAAATAAAGGAGAATATACGGTATTCGATTATTCATGTTTATTTAAAAATTACAACTATGCAATTCTCGTATCGTAAGAGAGACAAGGACGTGAATGTCAATATATTATATAGTTACTGCAATACTCTAAGTGATATTAAAATTTCACTGCCAATACGTCAATATACGACAATACGAAGAGACCAAAAGCGGCTAAAAGCTAAAATTTTCATGGAACTGCCAAATTTTTAGGAATTTTTCAATGGAATTTTAAGCTTTTTTTCCAAACGCGCGTTTACCCATAAGCACGAATACCCAGCACAGTTACTATTATAAAGAATTATTTGAAATTCCGATGATGAATGTACAATTAATTATACAAATTACTAAAAACCGAGGCAAGGTTTCTTTTCGTTCGTGTTGAAAAAAATCTTTGAAAATATCTGATAATGGGATCTTGGAAGCTAGACGTGCACCAAATATTGGGTCAGCTCGTATATTAAATAGCACGGCCCAGTCATGTCAAAGTCGACGTCTAAGCGGAGCACTGCGCGGCTCTGTTAATTGTCGTCGTGCTGGATCACTTAGACAAGCAATTTGATGAGCGTTTGTGGTTGTCTTTTTAACAAAAATTTTCAAGAGGCAAAATCGTTAACTCCTCCCCGGCAACCTTGTATGCCTCGCCACTGAATCCGAGAGATTTACATGCCAGCACAAAATACAACGAATGAAAGGCCCGGCACCAGGTATAATTGGTGTGCTCATCCAGTCAAGGTCAGTTGTAGGACCAGCCAGCCGAAACTACGCATTGAAACCCAACAACGCTCTGCCCGGGCGCTTCTCCACCTCATCCTCCACCACCACCACCACCACCACCACCTCCTCCTCCTCCTCCTCCACCTCCTCCTCCTCCTTCTCCATGTACTTTTACGCATTTCCTTATGTAAGTCGGATAGAAAGTATCGAGTAAGCTTATTTCCTTATTTAAAAATCAATAATTGGGAAATTTCGTTGGTCATGGGTTTTCTTGCTGAATTACACGCTACCGTCGCTTCTGACTGCTGCCATTACGTAACATTATAAAGAATAAAAACAAATAATAATAATAATAATAACAATAATAATAATAATAATAATAATAATAATAATAATAATGTTAAAAATAAAATAAGATAGAGAAGACGTAAGGCAAAGTTACTTCTGACAGATACATACTTTTAGCTAGCAAAGGCAAAAAATAATAATAAAAGCCCAGATATCCAATGAGGAGAGCGTACATACGCGCGCCTATGAATATATTATATATATTATATATATATATATATATGGGAGATTCGAAGCTCTTTTATAAGTTCGCATATGTTTAGTGAAAAGATAAAACAAAAAAACAACAGAAAGAGCGAAAAAAAAAATATATCGCAAGAAGGCGTGCACGATCGACCGGAGCTTACGTAATTCCGACTGGTCTAAAGTATCTTCATCACGCGTATAGTCAAAAGTTGAACGAAGCAATGAAAGAAAGAACTTCTCTGTAAACTCTACTCGAAAAGATAAATTGAATATTTTATTTTGAATACCTTGAAAAGGGATTTCTTTCTTTTTTATTTTTTTTATTTTTTATGTTTTAGTCTTTTTTTTGTTTTTTTTTTTTGTTTGTTTTTGTTTTTGTTTTTTTTTTGTTAATACATTTTTCGTGCGAGCATTTTTCAACTTGCTACCTCACGTTTTCTTCACTCTGTTGGCAATTATATTATTTAAAAACTATATGATTTTAATTTGAACAATGATTCTAAATCTGTGCTCTTATCTCGTTTTTATTCTCTTGGAACGGTAATAAATTTCAAAACTTTATATGCCTAGTATGAAATATACATTGATTAATTTTGTTGATAATTAACAAATACAACAACGGATAAAAAAGTATTTTTTTTTTTTTTTTTTTTTTTTTTTTTTTATATTTGCAAGAAATCTCTGTATGCAGTATGGGTATTGTATACAAATATTAATAGGCGCACAAGTTGCTGAAAGGAGAATATCATTGAATTAAGAGGTCCAATTTTTTTTTCTTTTTTCTTTTAATTCTACATGAGTATATTACAACCGTTACTTTTTCTGCATAAGTAAGATAATCTATAAATATGTTTTTTAATTTATCAATGCATGAAGTCACTTTTTAAGCTTATCAAACTCACATACTATGTTTGTGAAGTTGGGTAGCGAACAAACGTATTGTTAACAACTCAATTAATAAAAAAAAAAAAAAAAAAAAAAATTCAAATCCATTAAGTAAAACATCAAATCCAATAAGTAAAGCTGTAAAATTTAGGCTAAAGATGGATCGATCAAAATATTGATTTTGTTTATCCAAGAACCATATTTGGACCCATCACATTCAAATCGAATTTTATGTATTTTGAGAACATCTATTCTTAGCTAGGAATTCTTATTTAATATGCTTTTACATTTTTTTTTAGACATATCATTTACTTTCTAATTGCTTCTAAAAATATATTTTAATACACATTCAAAAACTAAAAATCTTAAATCTTTTTCTCTATACGAATAAATAATACGACTGCTATTTTCTATTTTATATTAAAATGACTTATTCGATTTTCATATAAAATTATAAAATACTTGTGACGAAATATTGTACATTTAATCAAGACATAAGAACTGTGTATCTATATCTATATATATATATATATATATATATAAATAATTAATAAGAACATTTCTTTTATATAATAATTACGTATACAATTTTTATATAAGCCGATTCTAAAACAAAATTATGTGTCTAAACTGAAAATCATAAGTCGACTCCTCTGTATTAATTAATAATAAATCAAGAGAAACTTTGATATAAACATTACCTTAAACTTAAATGTAAAGCATTTACATGCTCTTAGTTGCTCTTAGTTAATTGTAAGACGAGCTTAATTAACTAATTAAAATTTTTTTTTTTTTGCTCACAATGTTTCAGAAAATTCCTTCTTTTTGCAAATTCAGAAATTTTGCAGAATATTAACTTAAATTACTAAAATTTGAATGCAAAAATCTAGACAATGCAAGTATTTTCATTAAAGCAATGAAAATAATATTCAGTTAGATATGTAGAACATTATGGATAATATTTATTACATTTGTTGTTTATTAAGCAGTACCGTGTAAAATATTTCTACGTATCTCAAATGTATTATAATTTATTAGTTTCTGAACTTAAACTTGGCAAGATTCTCTAAAACTTGAAATATTTATCATAGATTAAATGGAAAACGTTTAATTCACAGCTACATTTTTGTTTATAAGACTTTCGTTAAAAATATTCGGCTGTCAATGAAATTTACTTTGGTATAAAATAAAGTATAATTTACATCTTCATAGTGCTAAAATTTAAATATAAAAATAATACAAATATTAACGTGTATAAAAACATTCGATAAAGTAAAAAATTATTAAGTTCGTTTCTTTGTAATTCTTTTTTCTTCTATTTCCTCCACTCCCCCGCCCCTGCCACCCCCTCCAAAAGTCAAACAAACTTAAAACTTTAATATTATTCAAATATGTGTATGAATAATTTGTATGCTAAACACTCTTCGGGCATAAAATTCATTAATATTATTTTTATAATCTTATACGAATGTAAAATTCTTTCGTCTCTCTTTATTTGTTTTGTTTTATTTTGAAATTATTGTTGATAGTATATTTTGATGAGTTCTTAAAAAACATAATAATACTCCTAACTTTTACAATTACTATAAATAACTTTTTATGATGTAGAATAAAAAAATGTAAAATTGTAAATACTTGTTTCACAAATCTTGTTATAAAGCTTTTAGAAATTTAATTATTCAATGAGCGAGTAATAAGTAATATTGCTTCAATTATTAAAATATTAATAATTATGATGTGATATATCGATTATCATTGGAGCAGCGAATACGGTATTTTTTTACCAAGTGCTTTTGATAATTGAAATAGAAAGCAATTAAAAAATCAATTTTACACTTAATCAAATTATTTATTAATGTTGTAGATCATTCTGATAATGATTTGAATACATAGTAAGTCACAAAGACGATTTAAACAAGTTGTTTGTCATTGTAATCATTAAAATGATTTGCTACGGTTACAAGAAAAATTTTTTAACTACAATAATATAAGCGGACGATAAATAAATGAATCCATCGAATTTTCAAAATTTTAATAAATAATATTGACCGCTAATTTTACCAAAAATAAAGCATTTTAATTAATAGTTAATAAAATCGAGTAAAAAATAACGTGAAGCATCAATCATGCATAGGAAGTTAAGTAAAAATGTAATAATACGCAGCATTCAATTTGAATGTTGTCGGCGTGTGCGTATCGAATAAAATTTCGAAGGTAATTTATAGTAAAGGAGATGGAGTATAAGATAAGGAGGGAAATACATAGAAAATGTACCAAGACATTGTATTTCTTAGAAAACGTAACATATTCTATATTTAACAAACATTTTTCATGTTTTATATTTACATGTACACATCGTCGTATTTCGCAGTGTCGGTGTGAATGGTGCTCATTTATTTACAATGCAAATTACAATATGCGACGTAAAGAATAAAAGAAATCACGGATCGATCCGCGGCCGGCCGAAATTCACTATATATATGTATAATCATATACGGATACGTAATGCCAACTTTCTTGCGTATGCGGCCGCATCATATCGTTCGTTGCTCGCATTACATATACACTCCTTTCTTCCTCTCACTCTCACTCTCTCTCTCTCTCTCTCTCACACACACGCACACACACACTTCTCTCTCTCTCTCTCTCTCTCTCTCTCTCTCTCTCCGACAATCTTTCTATCTCGCTTTATCTCTCCTTCTCTCACTTCATCTAGTGCTTGTACGTTGCTTCTCGCTATTTACACAGTCTCACTCATAATGCGCAAACTTCTCTCCAACGCATTTGCTCTCTTTTACACGCTTTCTCTCTCACTCTCTCTCTTTCTCTCACTCACTCTCATTCTCTCTCTCTCTCTCTCTCTCTCTCTCTCTCTACCGCACGCACAAGCACACGCACGCGTATACAGATACACACACACATAGCTCTCTCTCTCTCTCTCTCTCTCTCTCTTTCTTTCTCTTTCTTTCTCTCTCCGTCTCTTTTTCTCACCTCTCCTCTGAGCTGCGCTACTCCCGTTTCACAAAGTCAAAATTCAAGAGAGTGGAATCGCTACGTTTCTCTCGACGTTCGTGATATAGTTTGAAGAGAGAGAGAGAGAGAGAGAGAGAGAGAGAGACACACACACACAACTCGATTAGGCAT